ACCACAACTGAGCCCAAATTTATGTTGCCCCATTTTATAATCTTTCTTGCCACAGTTGTTAAGTGAATCACTGCAATTGTTAACACAGCTATTAGTAACACAGTAACATAGTTGTTAAATGAATCTGGCCTTCCCATTGACTTTGCTTGTCAGAAGGTCGCAAAAGGTGATCACATGACTCTGGCACACTACAACAGTCATAAATATGAACCAGTTGCCATGCATCTGAATTTTGATCATGTGACCATGGGGATGCTGCAATGGTTGTAAGTGTGTAAAACGGTCATAAGACTGTTGCAACTACAGTCACTAAATGAACTGTTGTAACTCGAGGACTATCTATACAGACATCAACTCTCAGGAGGCTGGCTGGGAAATTCTGGGAACTGAAATCCAGATATCTTAAGGTTGCCAAGATTGAGGGACACTGCTGGCTTTTTATTTTAATATTCTAAATGTGACAGGGCATTCCCTAGCTGTGGGAGATTCATACTGCGACCATAACACAATGCAAAATAAATTAAATGTGGCATCCACAGTGTGCATTTCTGATAGGTTTGCAATGCATTAGGAATCTCATTAATTTCACTTCCATGAAGTAACAGCAGTTCGACAATAGAACCAATTACTCAGAATGGTGATCTTCTCTTCACTGGATATGTGCACTCAGAGGGTAGACAGCATCTGTCTGGAGTGCTTTAATTTAGATTTCTGCATTGAGCAGGAAATTAAATCCAATGGCCTATCTGGTCGTTTAACTCCATGATCCCAATATCTCAGTTCATCCCCCTTAGAGTTTGTTTTCCTTCTGCACATATATGTCAAGGTCTTGAGTGATAGTCTTCTGAGAAGAACTGTCTTAATAATAGTTTGATTTCAGTGCAATATCTGCATTGTCAACAACTTAATCATACTATAAATTGTGCCAGCAAGTCTCCTAATATTTAAGGCAAGTGTCAAATGATCACACTTCCTGTCAAGCTAGAGGATTAGTATTTGATTTTTTACCAATCAATTTAGAACTAGTGCCATTAGAGAGACAGAATAGACAACAGACACTTCAAACAGAAGAAAAAGCTAGGTTACCATTTTGACCTAAATTCTTTAAGTTAATCTCATCAAAGGTTCATTAATAATGAAAAAGTATTGCTTTCAGCTGGGAGGAAAAAAACTGACCAGGAAAATGTGCAGTGAAATAATAGTGGCTACCTTGATGAAAAAAGGCAGACATTCAGCTGCCATGAAACAGACAAATTCCAATTGTGGATTACTAGGAAAAGATTTAAAAACTGAAACAAAATATATAAAGCCTTTATACAAATTTAAAAGTGAACAACACTGAGTTCCATATCTGAAGAACATATAAGAAGTAAAGAAATTCCACCGTATGTCCTTTAAATCAACTATGCATTAAAGGTAAGACTGGACAATGTGTTTCCGTATGGTCTAGATATAGGTAGTCTTCAATTTATAACAGTTTGTTTAGTGACTGTTTGAAGTTACAACTGCACTGAAAAAAGTGACTTATGACTATTTTTCATGCTTACGACCGTTGCAGCATCCCTATGATCAAAATTCAGACGCTTGGCAACTGACCCACCATGGGAACAAATTTATTTACTTTTTACATTCCTAATATCAGTTAAGATTTACTATCAACAGAGTCAATTTCTATGTAGTGTACAGAAAAAAAGAGGGGGAAGAGTGAAAGAGAAACAGCTTTCTCTTTTAAGCAGCCAAATACTGTTCCTCAGTCAGCCTCAAAATTGTTTCACTTTTCCTGCATTGCCACAGCACAAAAACAATTAGAAATTCAGTATTAATTAGATCATAATATATTAGCAAAGTTATGTGACCAGTTTGGAAATCACAAGAGAAGGTAAGCTTTCATATGACTAAGCAGAAAATATGGCAGAAGAGATTTACATATAAAATTAACTCAGGATTCCTTTTTTAATCATTTGAATATCACCCTAAAAGCCAAGCAACTATGGACAATTACAATGTTATCAGTCCACTGTATGCCTGAAAGATGGAATCTGTATGGCCAAAAGTCAAAAGCTATTTTAGATAGCTGGGTGATATTTAGATCCGATTGAAGCACAATCCCTATAGTAGAATGAGATCTTCCTTCAAGTCACTGCTACTCACAGCAGTTACCCAACCAACTTACAATTTCAGAGGATAAGATTTTGTGTCTGGCATCCCAAGCTAATTATAAAAAAGTTTACATTGTGGCTTTTAACTACATTTTAACTTATCACAATTTGTCACTCTACATAATCAGAGACATCCCCTGCTCATGCAGACCACTAAAAGCCCTTTGCAACATTAACTAATGAAAGCATATTCTGCCTAACATCTATGAAGCACTCATTCAATAGCAAGTCATTTGTAAACATAAATGGGAAGTTGCTAGAAGTTACCAAACAACAGAAGGGAATACACACAAAATGCCACAGTATGGGCTAGTGGAAAGAGGAGGCGATTTTTTAACCACCAACTGGAAAACTCCACATATTCCTAATTAAAATGCCCAGTCAGCTCAGAACGATTGTAGGAGTTAACTTAACTCTATCTAAACATCGCCAGATAGAAAAAGAGCATTGGGATCTTGTAGAGGAGGCATTTTTCCCTGCCGAGATGTATTCCTGGTAGTAAAAGGGCCTTTGGTTGAGTGTTGACACCAAACATTTCGTGCCATGCATGCGACCTGTGGAGTCCACGGGGTCGCGAAGAGTCAGGCACGACTTAGCGACTGAACAACAACAACGATTGATGCTATTTCAGGAAGGAGAGTTTCAATTCAAGAGAGGGGACTCGCACGGACTTGCCGAAGATCTCAAGGGGGAAAAAAAAGCGATCCAAGTGGGACATTACTAAAAGCCCCAGAATAGATCAAAAAGGAGAGGGGAACGCAGCATTCACACAGTTCTTCAACACAGCCAATGACCCCATTTCCTTCTTGCCCAAACACAGAGGACAATTCCCAGACCAAGATCACCAGGATCAAGATTAGTCAAGAGTGTCGGGTGCCGGGGAAGGGAAATGGGGTGAATTTACAAATCCCCTCTTCAAAGCCGGAGGTCTGCTTGTTAAAAGACAGAGCTGGACGCGAGATCTTTCCTTCCCGGCCCCAAAGTTTCCCCAGAGAAATCTGGCCGATCACCTGTGCCCGGGCGATGGGGCATCTAGACCAGGGGTAGTCAACCTTGGCTCTTTTATGACTCGTGGACTTCAACTCCCAGAATTCCTGAGCCAGCACAGCTGGCTCAGGAATTCTGGGAGTTGAAGTCCACGAGTCATAAAAGAGCCAAGGTTGACTACCCCTGATCTAGACTAAGGCCACCCTAAGGAGTCAGGGAGCTCCTTACCCGGCCCTTCTCCTCGTTTCCTCCGCCCGTGAGCCACGCTCGCCCTCCGCAGCTCCCTTGTTATCTTCGCTCACAGTCCGACAGAGGAGGAGGAGGAGGAGGAGGAAGAGGAGGCGGCCTGTCCCGCTTTCGCCCGCGCTGGCTCATGCCCGGGGCTCTCGACCGACCATCCTGCAGCCAGCAAGGCTCCGCGTCCCAGGTCCAGAATGGGGCGGAGGCTTGCCCCGGAGGAGGAGCGTCGTTGACAAGCCGGCCGGAGCTAAAGCAGCAAAGCCGCGGCCAGGCGACCCATCACTTCCTGCCGTCGCTCAGAAGAGAGGCGCCCGCAGTGGAAAGAAGGCGCAGCGCCATCGCCTCTCAACCCAGGATGACGAGCGGCTCGCGGAGGAAGAGAGAGAGCAGCCTCGCCCGCCGCCCTGCTGAGGAAGACCTGAGCGTCGATCCCAGGGTTTCCAGCCAATCACGAGGCGCCTCAATGAGAAGCCCGGCTCCAAAGCGAAACAAAAGGGCGGCAGGAGCCAATGAAGGAAGCGGAGGGGCGGAGTCGTGGGGCTGAAAACCGGCAGGGCGTTAAAGGAGAAGTTGCGCTCAACCATTTCGAAGGCAAAAAACTCTTTCGGAACTCAGCTGGAAAAGTGACGCGCTCTTCGCGTCCATTCCTTTGGCAAGCCGCCAATGCCCCTCCTTTAGTGGCGGGATCAAAGCAGAACAGTTTGTTCCGAAGCGTGCGTTTTTATTCCGGATTACTGGAGAATGCGAGATATATATATATATTTTTCTAAAAGTACTCCTTCCTCGGGCTTGCGTCGCTTGGCATTTTGCGAAGCGTCTCCTGTTAAGTGAGGGCACAAACCCTTTATTAACTTTTTTTTTTTTTAATAAATTTTTTATTGTAACCCTTTATTAACTTAAAGACAAAACAAGCGCCGTCAGCGCGGCCTCCCATTACTTATTCAACCGCTGAAGAAACCCGAGGGCGTGCGCCACAGAGGCGCACCTCATAATTCAGCGAAATGAAATGACAAACGGAGCTGCACTCCACGAACGGAAGGCAGCAAAAGAATAAAACGTTCTCGGCCGATGAAAAAGACCACGAAAGCTCACGCGGTGCTCTCCGGAGTGCTGGACTCCCAACGCCTCCTTAACTAAGACCAGGGGTAGTCAACCTTGGCTCTTTTATGACTCGTGGACTTCAACTCCCAGAATTCCTGAGCCAGCTAAGCTGGCTCAGGAATTCTGGGAGTTGAAGTCCACGAGTCATAAAAGAGCCAAGGTTGACTACCCCTGACTAAGACCGTCGGAGCAAACTTCCGAGCACCGTCGAGCCGCGTTTATTTCGCCTTTCCACCTACAGGCACCCCGCCTCCTTTTTCCTCTCCGGCGAAGGACCGCCTCTCTCCCCCCCCACCACCCGTCCCCTCGCTAAATATTCATAAGAGCGCTTTCCGCCAGTCTCTCCCGGTGAATATTTGCATATTCATAAGACGTTTGCGTCACGATTCCGAAGCTTTCGCGGGCTTTTGACCCACGTGACCGGTGATCCGCGCGGAATTCAGGCTCCGGCGGCGCTTGTAGTTTGGAGGGGGGGGGGGCTGCTGGTTGGAAGAAGCTCCGTCGGATCGCGGGCCAAGCGGAAGAAATGGCGGTAAGGGAGCTTCTCGCAACGGACCCGCAAGGGCTTTTCTTGGCAGCCGTATTGGTTATTTGTGTTTGCGTCCCTCGGGTGGGCCGCTTTTGGGGGGGGGGTTGTTTGGGGTCATCTGGTTATCTCGTAATCGTTACCTTTCGTAGTTTTCTCGTTCGTTGTAGAATCTGTATCTAAAACCTTTTCCGGACCTTTTTTTTGCCTGGCGGAATTTGCAGGAAGAGTGAAATGTTAGGCTCTTATTTTTCTGTTAACTAGTGCAAATTCCTTTCCCAGCCGTAGACCGGGAGGTCTGTGCCGCCCCTGTCAAAACGTAGGAGGAGTTTAGATTACAGGGCTTTTCAACCTTTTCACCCATTGTACCACTTTTAGGATATGGCAACATCCGAGTACCACCGGTCGCCTAGCAAGGTGTCAAAAACTTGATGACCCCCCCCCAAAAAAGGAAAAAAAGTGATAAAGTACAGGTAGTCCTCGACTTACAACAGTTCGCTTAGTGACTGTTCGAAGTTACAATGGCATTGAAAAAAGTGCCCCCCAAGCCACAGCCGAGCAAGACACCTGCCTGCCCCACCCGGCCGCGCTCTTCCTCCTGTCCGAGGTTTTCATTGTTGTGAGCATTTCTGTTCAGGATTGGCAGCGGGGGTGGGGTGGGGGGGTGTTTGGTCTTTATTCCCCCCCGTCTGCTGGGTGGTTGCAAAAGGTTTTGGTCACTTCACAAGACCCTGGGACACTGTGACCGTCATAAATATGAATCAGTTGCCAAGCATCTGAATGTAAATCACAAGACCCTGGAGAGGCTGCAATATTCCAGTTGATCGGTGCTTCTTCTGGGCTCAGCAGAAGCGCCAGGATCAGCGCCGAGCTCCAGCTGGAGCCTGGCGCTGATCCTGGCGCTTCCACTGAGCCCTGACAGCCCTGCAGCTCCAGCCGTCTCTCGCTCAGGCTTGTGCGGTGCTGCCACCGGTTCAGCTCATGCCCCTCCCCGACTATCACTTTTCTAGGATGGTCGCGTACCACCTGCCAGGTGCCAATGTACCACAGGTGGTACCCGTGCCACTGGTTGAAAAGCCCTGGTTTAGAAGATGGGAGTACAAAGAAATATTCTCCGCCACCGCTGTTCTGCAATTGAACCGAAATGACTTCTCTGGAATTTAAAAGAGCGAAAAAGGAAAAAAGAGTCTCACCCCGTGCCTGCCAGGCGCTTTATTAGTCTGTCTCTTTTTTTTTGCATTCCTTTTGCGCCTGGAGAAGTTTAGAAAATTCGAACCGAACCAAGTCCTAGGAAAGTACACGTAGCCCTCGACAAACGACCACAACTGAGCCCCAAGCGTCTGTTGTTAAGTGAGACGTTCGTTGAGTTTTGCCCCGTTTTACGACTTTTCTTGTCACAGTTGTTAAGTGGATCGTTGCGGTTGTTCAGTTAGTTAACCTGGTTATTAGGTGAATCTGGCTACCCTATTGGCTTTGCTTGTCAGAAGGAAGCAAAAAGTGATCGCGTGACCCCGGGACACAGCAAAAGTCATAAATAGGAACCAATTGCCAAGCATCTGAATTTTGACCACATGATCATGGGCAGGGGTAGGCAACCTTGGCTCTTTTATGACTCGTGGACTTCAACTCCCAGAATTCCTGAGCCAGCCATGCTGGCTCAGGAATTCTGGGAGTTGAAGTCCACGAGTCATAAAAGAGCCAAGGTTGCCTACCCCTGATCATGGGGATGCTGCAAAGGTCACAAGTATGAAAAAAACTGGTCATAAGTCACAGTTTTCAGGGGCATTGTAGCTTTGAATGGTCACTAAATGAACTTTTGTAAATCGAGGACTACCTTTATATTAGCCAAATTCACAATGTATTTTGCACTCTATTGTGTTAGGATTCCTCTGAGTCAAACATGGCTACCAGCCCGGTGCAGAACTCTCGGCGAGGAGATGCCTTCACGTCCAGCCCAGGGAGAGATCTACCCCCCTTCGAGGACGAATCTGAAGGACTCCTGGGGACCGAGGGACTCCCTGATGAAGAGGACGAAGATGGAGAGGAGTTGATTGGAGAAGGGATGGAAAGGTATGGGTCTTCCTCCACCAGGTTCATGTTTTCACATGAAACCTCAGAATGAAACATTTGGCACTCTGTTCTCTTTTCTTGCCTGTTTCATCAATTCAGTGCGAATCAGGTTGACTTCAAAGGGGCTGATGTGAAGATGTTTGTATTTAATACTGTAAGCTGATATTGGTATGGCAGTAAATTCAGATTGCATTATTTCATAAACAGGACACTCCTACGCATATTGTCATGCACCTTGAATCTTTCTCATTCCTTGCTGTTGTTAGCAGTAGGAAACCAGCAATTTGGTGTTCTAACAGTTAATCAGGTATGGTAGTCAACTAGTTGATTAGAATTGCGTTGCTTGGCTTCCTGCCATTAGTAACTAGTGACCATGATTATTATTTTTTTCATTATCTTGCTAATCAGTCAGGAAGTGCGCAGGGTTCCTAGGATTTGAAGATTGGTATAATGTTTGGGCTTTACACACACACACACACACACACACACACACACACACACACACACACACACACACACACATATTCAGATTTCTTTTTGCTGACAAGAGTTAAAGATTTTAAGTGAGAGACTAGTATAGCTATTTCGGACTCATTTGTCCTCATCAGCTAGCCACACCCCTTTATGGGATTCGAACCTGGACAGTCTACATGCTAGGCAGTTGTATTAACCACCAGACCACAGGCTCTCCTCCCCTCTTTGTCAGCCGAATCAAGGGAGTATATACAGAGAGTTTTTCAGACAGACGGTCTGATTGATTGCACCTTTGGCATTTTGACTGCTATACTGCAGTTCTACTTTTTATAATCTCTTTTGCCTTGCAGCCTCCCAACTAGGGGCGTTAAGCAGGCTCAAGTCGCTACTGCGATACATTACAAATGTTTGATTTATTTGAAATGTGGGTCATTTTTTTTCTTTTTTGCACACAATTTCCCCTTTTTTCTGGATATATTTTTTTCTGTTTTGCATTTTATTCTTGTTGATAAAGCAAATATAAACACAGAAAATGTGCAGGGTTCCTCATTATTTTGGGAGAAGATAACCCATTGTGATCAAGTTTATCCCAGCCTCTAATATGTTAGAAATTGTTTGCACCTGTTCGAGAATAGCAGTCCACAACATTTCCAGCTTGGTGGCCCACCCTAACACGGGGGGGATGAGCAGCATGCGTGCCCTCCACTTGCACAGATGGTGCTTGCACTCAGGCACAAAGCTTCACTTGTGTGAACTCTACGCACATGGGTGGCAGGTACTTGCGCAAGTGCTCTCTGCTCATGCAAATTCAGCTTTGTGCACACTCTTGCCCATTTCTCCCGGTGGTTGAGGACCCCTGGATAATATAAAGGAATTGTTTCAATTAAGAAAGAAATCAAAGGCTAGGCACTGAGCCAGATGCTTATGGGCCTCTAAAACATCCACAACTATCTGAATGCGCCATCCCTATTCTAGATAATATCTACCTTGATGGAAATTGTTAGTTAGTTTAAAAGTCATGCATTACATGGACTTCAGTTCAAGTATCTCATTACAAAACTTGAAGCCAAGTGTTAATATGCCATTTATTGCAAACCTTACAAACTGAGAGATGAGGTAGAAGTTCATAAGGGCTGGATTTGCACATCTAAATTGCTCTAAATTCATAATTTCCATAGAAGTGTATGGAGTTATTGTAATTCTTTTTCTTCTTGTGCCATAACCGTTATCGGACGTTGGCCATCATGTTGGCGATCCTGTTTTTATCAGCAGCCGCATGAAAAAGTGCTGTTGAGTTTTGTCCAAACCAGTCCCTTAGATTTTGAAGCCACGATGTTCTTCTTCTGCCTGGGCCTTGTTTGCCTTCAATCTTTCCCTGGAAGATTAAATGGAGTATGCCGTATTTTTCTGGGTGTCGCATCACATGTCCGAAATATTCTAATTTTCGGTTTTTTGTTTTGATGATTTCACTTGGGTTTCCCAGGCGGCTTATCACCTCCTCATTTCTGATTTTGTCAACCCAGCTTATACGTAACAGCCAGGTGTTGTACAAGTTGTGATATCCAAATATAAATGTCAGATCTGGTGCTTTGCAAAATAAGTAATGCAATGTAGTTGATGAACAGATTTTTTTTTTTTTGTCCAGGGACTATCGTCCTATTCCTGAGCTTGATGTCTATGAAGCTGAAGGTTTAGCCTTGAATGATGAAGATCTGGAAGAGCTAACTGCCAGCCAAAGGGAAGCAGCAGAACGTGCAATGAGACAGAGGGACCGTGAGATGGGTCGAGGCCTGGGCCGCATGCGGAGTGGACTGCTTTATGGTACATTTTTAAATGAATGGGTAGCGATGGCTTGGTTTATAGTATACAGTTCCTTAAGTCACATTTAAGATAGTTGCAGTATCCTACAGTCACATGACTCCGATTCCCAGTCAGCTTTCCATAAGCAGAGGTCAATGGGGAAGCTGGGAAGGAAAGTTAAAAGTTGCTCAGGTTAGTCTGCCCCACCTGTGCATCCTCCCCCAGCCCCCCTGTGCTTGCACCGCGTTTTCATGACCACTCGTGCACCCTCTCCCACCCAGAAGCAGCCACACATGCTGGGCCTCCACCACCACTTGCACACCCTCCCCAAGCCTCACTACACTCATGCCACACCTCCCCCACAACTCACATCCTCTCTCTCACGTGACAGCAGTCCTCCCCACACACACACACACTGTATTTCCCTCTCATTCTCCACCTGGCAGCAGTCATCTGCCGCCACCTGGGACTTGCAATTTCCTGCCAGCTTCCTCACTGACTTTGGCTGTTGGAAGCCAGTAGAAAGTTGGAGAAGGTGCTCACTTTACAACCCATGATCTTCACTTAACGATGGAAATTGAGACTTCGGGGGTTGTCTAATGTAGTGATGTGGTCACATAACATTGTGCTTTACAACTGCATTGCTTAGTGATTGAAATTCATAACTCAGTTGCTATCATAGCTCAAGGATGATTTTATTTTATGGCAATAAACCAGATTGAAATCATGGTTAGCTTATTGATTACAGTTATGATTTGCGGATATAGACATGAAAGTGTGTGGCATCTAAAAAAGGATTTGGCCAAATAAGTCACGAGCAATTTGATTACCTGTGAGTCTGATTCTGATTTATTTCTTACTAATAAAGGTAAGTCTCACACTGCTCAGCCTTATGCAATATGCTGAGTACATAGCTGACCATTTTAATATTTACTGCCATATGTAAATGGAATGGTTTTTAATTCATAAACCACTCAGAGTCACTTTAAATAGATGGGCAGTGTATAAATTTGATTACTAAGTAAATATACATCTGAATGGGATTGCTCTTCTTAACTGAGAGTCTTCAATATGTTAAAATTAAAACAAACTTGAAAGCAAATCAGTTAAAAACAAAGAATTTTTAGAATGTAGCAAAATCACAGACTTTTTGTTTGACACTTGAAATAGCATTAAATCAGAAAATCAGCAGATTCCAAAGTGATACCCTCCAGATGTATTGGAATACAATCCCCATAATCCCCCCAATGGGAAGTTATATGTAGCCACATAAAACATGAGCATCATGTTGAACAGCAAATTGTAGGAGTTGAAATCCAATTTATCTGTGGGGGGAAATGATCGTTTGGGGAAAGCTATTAAAAAAGGTGACATCTATCTAAGAGCCCTATCTCAGAGAATTGATTTAGTTTCGTTACCAGTTGTAAGTTTATGTAGCTGTCTGATAATCCCTTTTTATTTCCTCTGCTCCTTGCCCACCTTTTAAATTCTAGAGAGTGATGATGAAGATGAGGATCGTCCTTTGCGGAAGAGGCGCCTGGCTGAACGGGCTGCTGAAGGTGTGGAAGAAGAGGAGGAAGACATGATCGAAAGTATAGAGAACCTGGAAGACATGAAGGGGCATTCAGTGAGGGAGTGGGTGTCCATGGCAGCTCCCCGTCTTGAAATCTACCATCGCTTCAAGAACTTCCTAAAGACCCACGTGGATGATCACGGTCACAATGTCTTCAAAGAGCGGATCAGTGACATGTGTAAAGGTACAATTGTGGGAATGCAAGAAAAGTAGTTTAGAAAACCGACAGAATGCTAGTTTCAAATGTTTCTGGTGATGACTCATATTGGCCAGTTTCATAACTGCACTAAATCATAACTAATACATTGTAAGCTAAACCATTGTTTACAAACTTTATTCACTGGATTCATACAACATGCTAAACCACAAATGACTTAGTGCATTGTATGAACTTAGTCACTGTTTGAGATATATTTCTTTTAACCTACATTATATCTCGTACCACATGATCATAGCTGGTAGGTGACATTAAGGTTCCTAATTGTACTATTCAGATGGATCCTAACAAACCATTTAAGACTCCTTTACAGAATAAACATAATACTTAATGTGGGGAATATCTCAGCTTAATTCTCTTTCCCATGGTTAGAACTACACCTGTATGGGCTGCACTTTCTCTTCCCTCCCTATGCCTATACCAGTGATGGCGAACCTTTTAGAGACGGAGTGCCCAAACTGCAACGCAAAACCCACTTATGCATCGTCGGGTGCCGGGTGGGTGTGGCCCATTGGCTGGGTGTGGCCAATTGGCTGGGTGTGGCCCATTGGGTGGGCGTGGCTGCGGTAGTAACGGCAGACTGGGTGGGACTAAAAAGTTCAATTAATCAATTCCAACTTTGCAAGATCTTTTTTTTTCCCGCGAGAAGTTGAAATTGACTGATTAATTGAACTTTTTTTTTTTTTTGCACATGGCGGCAGAGGCCTAAAGCGAAAAGATTTTATAAAACCCAGCTGAAGGCCTAGGACTGGGTGACGGTGCGCGTGCCCACAGAGAGAGCTCTGAGTGCCGCCTCTGGCACCCGTGCCATAGGTTCGCCACCACTGGCCTATACTTTTTTTTGTAGGTGAATTGTGCTGCAAGAGTTACAGAACAACTACTTAATTATTTTGAATTACAATGCTAGTGTTTAAGTTACTAAAATATTGGCTAGCAGTTTTTTAAGGAACACATCTATTATATTTTTATTCTTAATGTTCATTTTTCTTAGCCATCATGAATAAAATTCCTTCAGTAGAAACTGACAACTATTTTCACACCAAAAACATAGATTTTTTAAAACAAAAAATACTGGAGGTCAAATAAGACATAAGACATAAGGATTGCAAATATATTTTGGAAGAAACCCAATAAACTCAGGGGTTTTTTGCATTTCTGCAGTGGTAGGTCTAGGTTAAAAAAAAAATCTTCTCTTGGCAGAGAACAGAGAGAGCGTGGTGGTGAATTATGAAGATTTGGCTGCCTGGGAACATGTCCTTGCCTACTTCCTTCCGGAAGCCCCAGCTGAGATGTTGAAGATCTTCGATGAAGCAGCCAAGGAAGTAGTAATGGCTATGTATCCCAAATATGACCGGATTGCTCAGGAAATCCATGTCCGCATCTCACATTTGCCTCTGGTGGAAGAGTTACGATCACTTAGGTAAGAAGGCAGTTTAGTATTGAGGTTGGCAGCACTAACAAAACCTATCAAGGCTGTTTAATGATTTATGACCCATAGTTTATTAGAATGTAAGTGATCCAGCTGATAAACTATTGAGTAGGTCTCTTGTAGCATGATTGCTTCAAGGACAAGAAGTTCAGTGCTGCCTAATAAATGCTCCCCTACAGAATTAGCCTGACAAGTCCTGAAGTTGAGTTACATCACAAAGCTAACATGCTTTAAATTATTTTGTTGCTCTGGAAGTATTGTAATCTCTTAAGTTTCTACTAAAAAAATCAGGTTTCCCTTTCTGAGTGTAGAACCATAGGAGAAAGCCATGAAGAATTGATTAGGTATAAAGCTGCTATTTATTGTAGTCAAATCATATTCATAATTCTTGGTTTGTTACAGATTACCCTGTCATTCCTCCTGGAATTCAGGGTAATCTGCATAGCATTCCTTCCACCAATTTAGCCCCACAACGGTGATGTGTAAGGGAGGTTGGGCTTTCCACAACTGAGGTTAATCCAATATTTCATTATTAAACCAAGCTAACCCATCTAATTTGTGATATTTACTCTGGCAGCTGGTCCTTAGGGTCTCAGGTGGATACTTAGGGTCATTTTTTTAACTGGGAATGTCTGAATATGAAAACTGGGGTCTCCTGCGTGAAAAAGTATCCTCTACCATTGATTTAATTTCCCTTCCTTCACTCCATTCCTGAGCGATTCGCTTCTCAAAGTTTTGAGCCTTGTTCCTGCTTCTTCTCATAGGCAACTACATCTGAACCAGCTTATCCGCACAAGTGGAGTTGTGACAAGTTGTACAGGAGTCCTTCCCCAGCTCAGCATGGTCAAGTATAATTGTACCAAATGTGGTTTTGTCTTGGGGCCTTTCTCACAGTCTCAAAACCAAGAAGTAAAACCAGGATCTTGCCCGGAGTGTCAATCTATTGGTCCCTTTGAAATCAACATGGAAGAGGTGAGCTGTGCTTGATTTGATATTAGGAAGCCCATTGCATTTTTCAACATGGTCTTGTTCAGACAGTGAAAACTAATTCTTAGATCTATTGGAAGGGCAGCTGCCTGATCCTTGGAAGAGTTTTGGTTGTTTGAGGAGCCCAGGTTGTATCCCCAGCTTTACAATAAAGAAGTAGTGATTTTCCAGATGCTCATAAATACTAGATTCTATCCTGTAAGAACAGAGACATTATGAACAGTTCTAACTGGCTGAAGGGAAAAAGGAAGCAACAGCCATACCACAATAGGAAGCAATGCAGTCTCTGCCGGTAGGGCTAGATTAAATGAAATTATAGGATCAATTTGTCTGATTGAGTTCAGGGGGGCTTGGATATGAAAATTGGAGAAAACAAAGCAGAACCCATGGCAAAGTCCTCAGGATTGCCATGATCCTGAGCAAACTCACTCTATAAGGAGCTTCGATTGGAACAAATGCGTGAGGAAGGTATGTATTCATTTAATGCCCAGCTAAACTGTACATGAGGCTTACCAAACCAAAATGGTTGTTGAACAATCATAATTCAAAACAAAAACAAATGTGAAACTTTTCTGGAGGTATGTTGAAAGATAGGTTAGCCTGCTGTGTGTAGATTTGTGTTATATTCTGATGAGTCTCCAAGGTGCTGAGGTTTGTCCGTTTACAGCTAAATACAAGTCTGCCTGATCTTCTGAAGTTTTTCATATGGATGTGGGGAAAAGAGGTCTTGTATAAACCTCCTTGAATCTGATGTCTTGTTGTTTAAGGAATGTGCTAAGAATTTTGTTTGCAGAGTCCTTTTTGTGCTCCATGAAATTCCTAACTTCAGGTGCTTGATATCCTGACAGACAGTCTACCAGAACTATCAGCGCATCAAAATCCAGGAGAGCCCAGGAAAGGTGGCAGCTGGCAGGCTTCCTCGCTCAAAGGACGCCATTTTATTGGCTGACCTGGTTGACAGTTGCAAGCCAGGGGATGAGATTGTAAGTATAAGGTCCAGAAAAGCAGGGAAGTTCAGAGATTGACGCATATTGACCACAACTTAAAAACTATCCTGGTTATAGAGTTCAGGAAAGAGCCTTAATGAAAATAAAGCTGCCTCTGGATGAAATATTTATTGATTTGTATCCCTTTATTATTTTTTACAAATAATTTAAGGCAGTGAACATACAGTATCCAAAAGACCTTCCTCTTCCTACTTTCCCCACAATAACAATCCTGTAAGGGAGATTGGGCTAAGACAGAGTGACTAACCCAAAGTCACCCAGCTAAATCTGAAACATTCATAGCAAAAACTTGAACTCACAATCTGTGTAAATTGGTTTTCTGAAGTCCACCAGAATGGCTATATCTTTTAGTTCGTGTGTAGCACATTTCAGTCTGAGTTCCTTGCACTTTCCTTTTTATTTGTCTGCATGATCATTCACCCTACCTTGAGATTCTCAGCTGTCAACTCGGCCCTGGATTTGAATACTTAGAACTATGAAAGGAGTTCTCAAGAACTAGCATCTTCAGTGGAACTGTTTCAATTAGTCACTGTGTATTTTTAATACAAATTTTTGTTCTAAGTGTATTAATATACTTATGTATCCTAAAAATGTTTTTTCATCCGCATTATAAAAAAAAAAAAAATCCTTAGACCAGCGGTTCTCAACCTATGGGTCACGACCCCATTTGGGGTCGATCGACCATTTCACGGGGGTCACCAAGCAAGGCTGTCCGCCATTTTTCCCCCCTTTTCTGGCGGGTGCCTTACATCCCTTGAGCTGGGCCAGCTGGTGGTCAGCCTGCTCCGTCTCTGCCGCTTGCCAGCTACGCCTCGGCCGGCGCAGGGGACGGAACCACGCATGCGCGGCGCTCTCGGGCAGGGAAAGTCCTCGACTTACGACCGGTTGGGTAGTCCTCGACTTACGACCGGTTTAGTCCTCAACTTACGACCAGTTTAGTCCTCGACTTACGACCGGTTTAGTCCTCGACTTACGACCGGTTGGGGTCGTGGCATTAAAAAGGTTGAGAACCACTGCCTTAGACCATAACAGAAATTCTTCCAACACGTAATAATACATGATGTTGAATATACATGTTGTCCTTGACTTATGACCAGTTGCTTAGCGACCATTCAAAGTTATGACATGCCTACCAGGGGGCTACATATGACCCACATTCAAAATTCTGACAGTTGGGGAGAACACACACCCCTCATGGTTAACTTTGGGCACTTGGCAACATGGCTTCATTTTATGATAGTTTTGCCAAAAATCAGCATTTTAATTTTCAGCAAAACCATGGCCATAGTGAATCATTGGTTTCATTTAACAATTGCTGCAAAAAAGGTTGTGAAATCAGGTTGGTCACGTGACCGATCCATTTTATGACCATCCCAACTTAAATATCATGATGGCCAGGCTCCATTGCAATCACAAGTTGAGGTCTACCTAATTAGTTATTTATTCTATTCATGCTTCATTAATAATATGATGATGTCTGCTTATGTTCATGCTCCTTAAACACTTCCTTTCTCCCTCTTTTTGTCTGCCCTCTCCCTAAATTATACAAATTAATTTAGTGCCAATGATTAAAGAATATCTTGCTCTTGTCTTTTAGGAGCTAACTGGAATATACCATAATAATTACGATGGCTCTTTGAATACTGCTAACGGGTTTCCAGTGTTTGCCACTGTGATCCTGGCCAATCACATCACCAAGAAAGATAATAAGGTGGCCGTTGGGGAGCTCACAGATGAAGACATGAAAGTTATTGTAGGACTGTCCAAAGACGAGCAGATTGGAGAGAAAGTGAGTTTGAAAATCAAGATCCAACTTCCGGTTTTCTGGTTTCCAGTTCAACAGTATGAAAGCTCCAGAGATTACTTTGCTATACAGTCATTCTACGTTTAATAGGGCTTTGCTATACAAGCATTCAAGGTTTAGTAGGAGATTTCCATTGTAGTAGTACTGTTTCTCTTTTAGCGTCTCTGTTGATAAATATGTTGGCTGTGTATTTGCTTTTCCCAGATCTTTGCCAGCATTGGTCCTTCAATCTATGGGCATGAAGATATCAAAAGGGGGCTGGCTCTAGCCCTGTTTGGAGGAGAACCCAAAAATCCAGGTAGGTTGACCAAAGTCACTTTGGGATCAACACTGCTTTCACATGATGAGATTGAACTTGCTAGAGAGGATACCTGTATTATAGTGGAGAGAACTGGCTGGAAAAGATGTTCATCTTTTATTTTTACAGTTACACATTCCCCTATTAATAAGCTATTCTCCATTTTGGTAATTTATTCCAGAAAATAACAGCAATTTCTTACCACCAAAAAGTTCAAACATGAAGCTCCTCTCTAGTTTGTAAACAAGTATATGTTATGAAGTATGCATACACCACATTTCCTTCTTTTCCATCTGGCCAGTTTTATCAGAAATTCACCTTATTCTTAAATGAGGCGGGGGGGTGTCTCTTTTATTTTTGTTCCACTGTTCTTTGTACTGATGTCTTATTAATCAAACTTTGAATACTTACTGGGGTGGGGAGTATTAATAAAGCAGACAGTTCCTCAATCACCTTATTTCTTTATATTACTATATCACTTTATCTGACTCCTTCTTCTAGAAAGCAATCAGATATTTTAAAGTATGTGAATGAGCTTTATTTTATATATTTTGCTTTAATCCTGCCCTTCCTCCAGTGAAAACAGAAAATGCCATATAGTTGGTTCCCTTCCTTCATTAACTAGCAATTTATGTTCGGAACACCATTATGAATTAGGTTACACTGTGCCAGAGGTTACTGGGTGAGCTTCGGTGGACCATTTGATCTCGGGCCTCCCAAGTTCTAATCTACCATTTTGTCTCATTGTGCCAGCCACAATTTGGCTCACTGTTCTTTCCATCTAAAACACTACAGGAGGAAAACATAAAGTCCGTGGAGACATCAATATGTTGCTTTGTGGCGATCCTGGCACAGCCAAGTCTCAGTTCCTCAAATACGTGGAGAAAGTAGCCAGCAGAGCGATATTCACCACCGGCCAGGGGGCTTCTGCAGTTGGCCTGACTGCCTACGTGCAGAGACATCCTGTAAGCAAGGAATGGACCTTGGAGGCTGGAGCCCTGGTGCTGGCAGACAGAGGGGTGTGCTTGATAGATGAATTTGACAAGGCAAGTATTGGCTTGGAGGTATGACATAATTTGGTCAAGCCAGATTCCAGTCCCAACCGTGTACGCTGCTCTAGGTAAGACCTTGAACACAGAAAGTGAAACAGATAGAAAAGAGGTTGGATTTTAGGGCCTATCTAGAAAGAGTCAGTGTTGAGATCTGGAACTGAGAAAAACTGCTCAGAATATTAAAGCTGGTGGTGGATTTGATATGTTTGGGGGATGCTAGGTCTCAGATTCATTAATGTAGTGAAGCCTATAAGGGAAGATACCTTGGGGAGAGCATAGCACAGCACTGGGACATATCCTTTGCACATAAATATCCAAACCTCATTCTGAGCATCTGCACTTTAAAGAAAGATCTGGTCAATATGTGAGCGGGGGGGTGGAATTGCTTTGAAACTCAGTATTGACAACTCTGGCTGGAAAATACTTTCTGTCCTCGATAACATTGCTCTATCTAGAGGCACTGAACTGTTAAGAGCTTTGAATGTGTACAACTGAATTCTGCTTTTTTTATTATTGGGACTAATTGGAGTTTTAACATCTTTTGCTGTTCCTCAGATGAATGATCAGGATAGGACCAGCATCCACGAAGCCATGGAACAGCAGAGCATCTCCATCTCAAAGGCTGGCATTGTCACATCTCTACAAGCTCGCTGCACTGTTATTGCTGCTGCCAACCCCATAGGTACGTGGGGCCCATGGAAGAAAAACTCACTAGGGCAAAAAGTGCCACGTATTGTGTTAAACTTCCTGTTTAAAAATTTCCTGTCTTTTGGATACTGAAAGGAAGAAGAAGACGACCATGCACTGTTTTTTAAAATGCTTCTTTTCCTATTCTAGGTGGGCGCTATGACCCTTCTTTGACCTTCTCAGAAAATGTTGATCTGACCGAGCCCATCATATCTCGTTTTGATATCCTGTGTGTAGTCAGGGACACTGTGGATCCTGTTCAGGTAGATTCTGCAGATCATTAGACTTAAGGAAAGTTAATGAAGGGACTATCATTTTAATACTTAACTGAATGAAGAAGAGAGGTACACAAGATAGAATTAGCTAATACCATTGACCTCTTGTGTGGCTTGGGAAAGTAAAGCTCACAGGAACACTTTGATAAGCATGCAAATAGTCCTTGACCTGCCACCATTGAATCAGTGTCTGTCTGAAATTACAACTTTGCTAAACGGATGGTGGTTACAGCCAGTCCTCATATTCTGGCTGTCCCAGCATTCGGATGGCATGTGCTTGCAGTCTTGTGTGCTTGGCAACCAGTTCGTGCATAGGACTGGTTGTAGCACCCCACAATCACATGATCAGCTTTTGCAACCTTCCTGCCAGCTTCCCAAGAAAGTCAAGACGGCAGAGAAGGTCGCAGGTTGCTGGTCTCCCCAAGCTACACACTCTTCCACCATTGCACTCATGCCATGCCAGCTATTGGCACACCCTGACTCACTACACCTGCACTATGTCTCTCTTGCACCCCCATGCACCCTCCCTGACCCTCACTGCAGCATTCTCACCCCTCTTCACCTGCACCTGCCTTCCCCAGCAGCAGCCACTCGCCTATCTGCTGGCCTGGGACTTGCAACTTCCTGCTGGCTTCCTCATAGACTTTGGTTGTGGGAAAGCAGCAGGAAGCTGCCTCACCTAACAATTGTGCGATAGCCGGGACTGCAGGGATTGTTGTGGCTAAGCAATGCGGTCGCACTTTACGACTGCATCGCTTAAAAGACAGAAATTCCAATCTCAATTGCTGTCATACGTTAAGGACTTTCTGTTCTTGTCATAGATCTATTCATTTTTGAATAAAAGTTAGGCAATCTGGAGAATTACTTTTGAGATTGTTTTATAATAAACGATATAATATTGGTGTTTTGGATTTTTTTTTCTTTTTTTGCAATTCTTTCTGGAAGGATGAGATGCTGGCTCGATTTGTTGTCAGTAGCCACATCAAGCATCACCCAAACAGCAAGGATGCAGTAAATGGAGAGTCTCAAGAGATTACCCTGCCTAATACTTACGGCGTAGAGCCCATTCCACAGGAGGTCCTGAAGAAATACATTATTTATGCAAAGGAAAAAGTCCATCCCAAACTCAACCAGATGGACCAGGACAAAGTGGCCAGGATGTACAGTGAACTCAGGAAAGAATCCATGGTAAGCAACCAAGGAGGTGGGAAATCCTACATTTCAGGGTGAGACTATTACCTGCAGAATCACTGCCCATCTCACCAGTTAAATAGAGCTGGAAGAAACGTTGGTTCCAATAAATCTGAAATCTGGTTCTTTTTAGAAGCAGCCGTAATTACATGGTTGGCTCATGAAAAAGTTCCCAAATCTATAAATGAGTACTAGCTTTATCAGAACCCACCCAAAAATATGCAAGTCTTTACCTTCTTCTGAACTCTTTACTACTTAATGCTAAATGAAATTGTTCACCAAAATATCTCTCAGTAACTATTGCATCAGTATTTACCTTGTGCTAAAATTGGCTTTGGATTACAGAAACAGCTAGCCTGATGTTTGGACTTTGTTCTCCCATCCTTGGGGCTGATTGGTTGGTTTTGACAACTTATCTAATAGACAGAGCTGGTAGCATTTTGGCTGGACCTCAGTTCAAGGATCAAACAAAAAAGGTCCTGATTCCTGAAAAAAAAAAGAAAGGGGAATAACCCCTCGGAGGCATATTCCTTATAATCTATACAATGCACTAGTTTGCCAGCAGATGGCAGAGTCCTCCCTTAATCATTGATGCCTTTTAAACCCATTTTTTTGGGGGGGGGGTGTTTTTCCTATTTACTATCTCCTGTGAGCCATTAATGGTTTTTAATTAGCTTCATGCAGTATTAACAACTCCCCAGAGTAGAAATGCAGGCTGTAACTTAATGGTGTGCAATTTTGGTCAGTTTCTGAATCATTTTGTGTGGCAGAACAAGGACCGCACTCTAAAATTAGCTGAGACAGGGTCCGCTATGGATAAGGTCAGATGTTTTAAGAGGTAAAGTAGGTGCCTTAAACCTGTCAGTCCTTAAGGCAGTGGTGGCGAACCTATGGCACAGGTGCCAGAGGCAGCAATCAGAGCCCTCTCAGTGGGCACGCGCGCCGTCGCCCCAGTCCTAGGCCTTCAGCTGGGTTTTATAAAACCTTTTCGCTTTAGGCCTCCGCCACCATGTACAAAAAAAAAGGTTCAATCAATCAGTCAATTTCAACTTCTTGCAGGGAAAAAAAAAGATCTTGCAAAGTTGGAATTGATTGATTGAACTTTTTAGTCCCACCCAGTCTGCTTTTACCACCGCAGCCATGCCCACCCAATGGGCCACACCCACTCAATGGGCCACACCTACCCGGCACCCGACAATGCATAAGTGGGTTTTGGGTTGCAGTTTGGGCACTTGGTCTCTAAAAGGTTAGCCATCACTGCCTTAAGGCATCCATTGATCCTCTTCAAAACTCCCCAGCTGCTTTTTACAGCACACTTAAGTGGTGCATATAGGAGCATAAAAAGAAGGCTGGCCAGTCACAAGCCGTTCTTGGGGTGCCCTTTTTGCATTGCTGGTATCAGTCAACAGGGCCTTTCTCTTTTCTTTCTTCAGGCAACTGGAAGTATCCCCATTACAGTGCGCCACATAGAATCCATGATCCGAATGGCAGAGGCTCACGCTCGCATGCACCTGCGGGATTATGTGGTGGAGGATGATGTCAACATGGCCATCAGAGTTATGCTGGAGAGCTTTATTGACACACAGAAGTTCAGTGTTATGAGAAGCATGCGGAAGGTATGCAGAGAGGTGGATCCTTCTATGGTGGTGGTGATGGTGATTGTTTCTTTTGGGATGATGGAAAAATACCCTGAGAACTTAAATTTTGGTAGAACTCCAATGGAGATTCAGGAAACTGACTTTAAAAAAGGACTTGGATATTTTGCATATACACTTTTATGCACTGCACACTATTATGGAAGTAAATTACAGAGCCTATCTATCCTGTCCTTCATTATCTGTGTGTAGTATGTTGAAACTTAATCTGGATAACTGGAAACTGCAGGGAAGATAGATAGAGAAATTATAATTTTTCTCCCAATTTATCCAGAATCGCTAGGTATCCTGAAGAGTCTCTTAGGACAAGTGAGACTGTCAGCTATATTAGCACTTTGATCTTAGAAGATGATGAAATGTCAGGTTGAGAGAAGAATATTATTTCTTACTTTAAAACATTTCTTTTGGACTGTTCAAGAGATGAATAAATGCCCTTCTTGGGCCTCAGTAATGAATCCTGGAAAATGCTGCCAGATGGCAAAGGAGTAGGCTGAGGGCACCATCATCCACGCTCCTGATGAATGAAATAGCTTTTGAGATGAGGGTTGGAAGCTGGAGACACTAAAGTTAATATTAGAATTGGGCCAACCTTAGTTTGGAAAGCTAAAATATGAATAAATAACCATATTCATTATCCTGAACTTCTTGGTAGAGTGGGATTAAAATATGCAGTGAATGAAAAATTATGCTGCGTATTTGTGTCTAGGCAGTTTATAGACAACTTTGAATCAGTTCAGTGCTTACAAAATGTGAGTACTTTAACAATGTTTTTAACTGCTTCCTAAACATTTTAGAAAGTCCAGAAATTTGAAGACTATTTTTTACTCTTATATTTCTGCCCTCCCCCATAAAAATCAAATGTAGGGGGGAGAAACTCTATTGCCCATCTTAGTATTTGGCAAAGGCATTTCTGTGATCCTTGCTTTGATTTAGTAATTATCTCTCCCATTTTGATGAATAGATAAATGAATAGCCTGTTGTTCTTCCTTTACTGAGAGCCTGTCCCCCTGAAGGCCATGATGGATGGTTGAGTTCCTTGAGGGGCAAAGTGGGTTGTTGGGACATTGGTTTGGGTGTTCATATGATTGGGGATGTGTGTTTTAGCCTGAGAGGAAGGAGTAAAAGGGCGGGGTGATGGTGAGCAGAGAGCAGGCAGGAGCATTGGGACAGTGATGGGTAGAAGGAAACATGATGGGAACCTGGGACAGACTGCACTAGACCTACTGTTTGAAAATGATTTTGGTATCCAGCCCCAACTTCTACCTTCAGGATCCTACTTCTGAATGTAATAAAGCCTCCCTCGTGTATGCTTTTGTCTTGGATGAGGGCACCAACCTAGCATGTCTCATCAAAACCTGATGGGTCCAGAGGGGAGTGTCCCCCTGGGTTTCAGGGTTTCCATCAACCGAGACCCCAGGAAAGAGAGGGAGGTGTTGTTATTGCTATCCATGAATCCTTGCAGGCCCCAAGAGGCAGGGCAGATAATCACATATGGAACAGTCTTCTGAAGGTGGGCTCCAGTAAGCAATTGTTGGTTTACCACCCTTTCTGCTACCCAGCATCATCCCTGCCTGAATTTTGGTAGTTAAATTCCATTGCTGGGCTGATGACAGAATCCTGGAGACAGTTGAGGATTTTAATCTGCTGCCACGAGATATTGAGCTTGGGGCAGTGCAGGAACTCCTGGCCTGTATGGATCTGTCCCAAGTCATTAATGATCCAATTCAAATAAAACATTTGGGGTTTTTTATCTTAATTATTTTTTATTGGTTTTGAATTGTGTTCTATTTAATTTTGTTTTTGTTGTGTTGTGAGCCACCTAGAGACATTTGGAGTTGGGTCTGTGTCTTAAATCAAATACATTAAGCAAAATAGGGTAAAATTCAGTGAGATTAATTTATAATTCATGTTTTAGATGCTTGCTCATTTAATTACCAAAATTCCAGCTTCGAAACCTTTTTTTTTTTTCAGTTAATTGTGTATTATTCTTCGGTTCTTGCCTGGGGTTTGATACAAATAAATAAGCAAACAGATAAATTAAAAGGTCCTGTGAAAATGCTTTGGAGCCTTTTCTCTCTTTATCTATTCAGTAACCAAATTTTCTTGGAAAGCTCTGTTTGCTCCCTCAAGAAGATGGGATTGAATCCTCAAAAGTCCCTTCAGTAGGCCAGTATTGAGTTTAAATTAGACAGTGATTAAAATCCTTTTATTTACATTAATAAAAGGCATCCATTTTTCATTGTTTTAGAATATTCCCCTTTTCAACAGTGATTTGTGCCTTTTATCATCTCTCCCTTGATTATTACAATTAACTCTATGTGGAATCGTGCTAGGAGATTATGTACAATGTACTTACTCCCTGTTGACTAGTTGGTAGAAGCTACTCCAGCAGGAGAATGCCAATGTTGTGCAAGCTGCATTGTCTACTGGAAAACGTCTCGGTCTATTTCAAGGTGTAGGTTATCCCTTATAGACTTGGGTCCTTGCTCTCTCTAAGGATGTACAATTTGCTCACCTGATACATGCAAGCTGAAAGGGGATGTTGCAGATTTTTACCCTGCCAACTTTTAAGGGGAACGTGTTTTCTTGACTGTAGCCCCCTCCCCCTAAAACTGTTCATCTATCCAGATGAGAATGGCTCCTGTCTTACTAGTATTTCAAAAGGCTCTGTAAAAAGAAGTGTTTTTCCAATGAACTTTCAGATAGGATTGGTAGTGATTAGGGAATCAGTGGAGTGAGTGCTCAGGGATGTTTCTACATTTGTATTAACTTGGTTTGTGTACATGTGTTCATTTTGATGTAAGTTTCCTAGAATTCACTGTTAAGCATCCTATAAGTATAATAAAGTAGGTAATTTCAGATTGTTGTTGGCTCATTGTTGGACTCCCCTCTTGTTCTTTTTGTACACAGACGTTTTCCCGGTACCTTACCTTCAGGCGGGATAACAATGAGCTCTTGCTGTTCATTTTGAAACAACTTGTATCAGAACAGTTGATGTATCAGAGGAATCGCTACGGAGCACAGCAGGACACCACTGAAGTGCCGGAGAAAGACTTAATTGATAAGGTATGGAGCGTTTTTCCCTTTTGTGGACATTGTACCAAGACTAAATCTAGTTATTCTGCATCTTCTGGGTTCCCCTTTCTAAGCTTTGAATAAATGGGCTTTGAGCACTAAGTCTTTTGTCGTAAAGAAAAGCATGAGATATTAGACCAACAGGCAAAGTTGCTCCCTTCTGGGGTTACATTTTTGTATTATTCTGAACCCCAAAATGTGAGAAACTAGTGCAAAGGCTTTCTGGGGCTCGTGATCACAAGGACATCATAAAGAGGGAATGATCTCACTGGAAAGGGAGAAATTGGGATTTTTTTTTCCTTACAGATGTTTTTGTTGTTACTGGGCTGGGTTGCAGTTTTGCATTCAATGGGATTTTTGGATGTTGAATAGACCCATTTTATTTTCCGTGAAAATTACAGAAAGCTTGCAATGCATGCTGGTAGGTTGTTGCCAAATGTCCGTGTTATCTAGGAAGAGAGCATTGGGTATCCCATACGGTACATCCATTATAACAATCCTGCCTTGTGAGCCTCCAAATGGACTGCTGTAATGAGCTTTATATGGGGCTGCCCTTGAAGAACATCCCAAAACCTCAGGTGGTCTAGAACAGTGTTTCTCAACCTTGACAATTTTAAGGCATGTGGACTTCAACTCCCAGAATTCCACAGCCAGCATTGCTGGCTGTGGAATTCTGGGAGTTGAAGTCCACATGCCTTAAAATTGTCAAGGTTGAGAAACAATGGTCTAGAATGTGGCTGCATGCATAGTTAGTTATGGATGTACCTTGGCTAGCTTCTGCTCTGCAAGCTGTATTGGCTTTCATTATGGTGCAGCTAGGTGACTGTTCCCTAGAACAGAGGTCCCCAATCTTTTGGGCACCAGGGACCGGTTACATGGAGAGAGGTTTTTCCACGGACCGGAGGGGGCATGGTTTTGTGTGCTGCCTGCATCCCGCCGATGGGGCTTTGCTTGTTTTTGGGGCCCAATTGCTGGCATGCTGGTCCCCTGACCGGGAGTTGGGGAACCCTGCCCTAGAATGCTTTTCATGGCATGGGACTAGCTTATTGGCAGGTCTGCCTCTCCCCAGTTGTTTTTAACCTAACCTGTTTAGGTCTGGCAAAAAAGACAAGCTGGGCATTCTGACAGATATTGTGAATAGCAGACATTGCAAATCAATAATCATATGTAAAAGTTTATTCTGGCCAAATTATATGTTTCAATGAATATCTCAATTGGGAGAAACTGCCACAACATCTCCCGTTTTTCTGCAAATTTGATTGTCACTTAACTATCCATGTCCCCTCTCTCTTTCTCCTTGCCAGGCCCGTCAAATCAACATCCACAATCTTTCTGCCTTCTTCGATAGTGAGTTGTTCAAGATGAACAAGTTCAGCCGTGATGTCAAGCGGAAATTGATTGTACAAACCTTCTGAGGCAACAAGTTCGCAAGTGGTTGGAGACATCAGAGCTATGCTTTCTCTTCTGTTGTAGCAGTCTTCAAGGCTCTTCTTTATATATTCCAGAAAAGAATAAGAAACTCTGCTGAAAAGCCTGTGAATAGAATATAATAGAATGGAACAGTTCCGTGGTTAAAAAAGCAGAACTGCTGTGAGCCTGCATTTGCTGGACGAAGCCCCAGAGGAATTGTTTCCTGTTTGCCTCATTTTGGAAATTGGACTTGACACTGATAGTGGTGAATGGGTCAGTTCAGACTGTGCAACAAGCAGTAATGCTGTGCTCATGTTCACTCTAAAGCATCTGCTGCTTTCCATTTCTCCTCTGTTATACCCTGCTTATTGCTTCATGTACTTCTTATGAAAAGCTGAAAACACTCTATGTTGAAGATTAGTAGAAATTCACATTTGTTTTACTTTAGAGCTGTGTTATGCCAAAACAATTAGAGATGTGCAAAGCTAGTCAGAGGGACATGCCAAGAGCACCCCAAAATCTTGTCAGAAGCAGTTCAGCAGCATGGGCCAGAGGAGGCTTAACACAGTTCTCCAGAAGTTCTTTTCCCAAAGTAATATTTTTACACATCCCTGAAAATAATGTTTTTTTCTTATATGTTTGCCCAATAAAGTTGTAACAGGAAAATGTTTACTAAAAATAATGCCCAAAGATTTTAAAATAGCTTCTTAAAAATAAAGGCACACATTAGTTTGCTGTTTAAAAATGGCCGTATTCCCAAATCAGCTACTTCATTATGACTGCTGCATTTTTAATAATATGCTTTTTGGGTAATGTTTATCATTTTTCCTCTGTCGTTTGAACTTTTGTATTGAAGAAAGATAACTTAAATCCAGTTGTAACTCTTAAACTTTTCAAATCCATTTTTATATCGGGTTTGTCTGGAGATGGCACTTCATCAAATAACTGGGTCCTCCCCAGCATTTTAGCAAGCAGAATCAGAAAGTAAATATCTAAAACCCAACGTTTGTGCAGAATCAAGATTTCTTCTGGAAAAATAGCAGGAGTGAATTGTTTACCTGTCTTGAATTTTTGATAGAAGATTAACTATCAGACACTAAAGACAGAACATCTGTATGTCCCTCCAAATGTTTCTTTTGCACTAGATGGTCATTAGTGCTGGGAGACTGGAGTGAAGTAAATAAAGAATAAATACAACAAGCTTTAGGCTTGCCTACCCATGATCTGAATCACCAAGCTAAGAACCTCTGGTTTTATTTCCACCTTTGTGCTTTAAGTTTAAATTATTTCCTGTTTAGAGCTCTTCTGAATCTTCACAACTCAATCTATTCTATGCAATGCAATGGTCATTCTCTTCTGCTGTGTTTGTAGTTCCATTAGTAACTTTTCATGTTGTATCTGTTTTAAAGGGATCTCGGAGAAGGCTACTTGAGAGGTAATCCTGTTTATTATGCAACATGGTCTGTTTATTATGCATCACTGCGCTCTAGAAGTTCCAACCTTTTTCTTTATAGGCTCCAGTGTTTGACTGATTTCAAATATATTCAACAGTAATGTAATTGTTTACCTTTAATTTCCAGAATGTTCGACGTTGCCAGATACCTTGTGTAGACTAATAAAAACTTAAAATAGAAAATCCATTTTTGCTATACAGTAGTAGACAAATGCTTGGAAAAGTAGAAAGTACAGACCTAGATATTTAGCAATTGCATCTGCACTGAAATTGACTGTTGGCTCCATTGCTGCTGAAAGAGCTACTTGGATTGTTACAAGAATTGAATTCTTCTTTTCCCACCCCAGTGGTTAATTCCATATGACTCTGTGTTCGACCCTAGAACTCCTAATCTGATATTCTCAGCGAAGTCCATAAGGTTAGAGGCTCAAGGATTTATTCCCTGCATAGCATGTCGTTCTGAGGACTAGAATGTTGGGTTGATACCAACAAACATATACATCCCATTCAGGCATTTCGAATGCAATATTACTGTCTAGGCCTTGCTGGCTGAGAAATATTTCCAAAATTTGGGGGCTTATTTTTTAAAAAAACTTTTATTCATTGTTCATACATACATATTTAACTAACGCAATATGTAATCTTTAAAACATAACAAACAAACCTAAGGGAAAAAAATCTATTTTATATTTTATGCTTATCAATAGTTAAAATAGTTTTCCAAGCCTCTGGCATTTTTCTTCCCTGTAAAATAAAATTAATCATATTTTGCAAAGCTTGTAAAAGTTCGTCGACACATTTATAATAATCCAGTAATCCATATGGTCCAGGAACTTTTTCCCGGTTTAATCTTTTTTATAGCTTCATAAACGTCTCTTAAAGATCCATTTATACAGTAATAGGTATTATGAGCTGTGGTGAAGGGCTTGCCACAGAGTTGTGCTGTAGGCACCCTTCTATAACAACACAAGCAAATTACCCTAGTGGTTGCTCTCTTGAGTCAGGGGAGTGCCCTCCCCAGTTGGCTCCTCTGACACTTGGCTGCTCTCTCCAGCCACAGGAGCAGTGCTCTTCTTCCAGACCTTAAGTTTTTAATAGCTGAATTATTAGGCTGCATTAGAACTTAATAAACCAACTACAGGTAGTCCTCAATTTATGACCACAATGGTGCCCAGAATTTCCACTGCTAAGCTAAACAGTTAAATGAGTTATGCCCCATTTTACGACATATTTTTTTTTTGCCACAGTTAAGCAAATTACTGCAGTTAAGTAAATCTGGCTTCCCGCATTGACTTTGTCAGGAGCCAGCTGGGAAGATTAGAAATAATGGCCACATAACCCGGGGACAGTGCAACTGTCATAAATAGATGACCATTGTCAAGTGCCCGAATTGCAATCACGTGACCGTAAGGATGCTGCAACCGTCGTAAATGTAAAAAACAGTCAAGTCACTTTTGTCAGTGCCATTGTTACTTTAACAGTCACTAAACACATAGTTGTAGGTCGAGGACTGCCTATATCTATTCTGTTTTTGTTTATATGTTGCCCATTGTTTATGATTTCTAGTTTTAACAAATTCCATTGTGGAGCATTGTAAACTGCCTTGAAAAAAAATGGTTTGAAAGGCACTGCTGTTTTCAGTAAAGAAAAATATTTAGAACAATATACAGTATAGGAAGAAGAAGGTAGCCACCTTCTGAATTCCAGTGATTCCGACAAGAATCTATTATTCAAAAGAGATGCTTCAAAGAGCTTAAACCTCTTAAGTGGCTTTATAAAGCAGGGGTTCCCAACCAGGGGTGTGAGATGATATTCCAGGGGGTGCAAAAACTTGGGTTTTCAAAATTATAGTTTATATGCATAATTTGTTGCCATTATTTCAAACTTTTGTAAGGGGTACGAGAATATATCAGAAGCGTTCTAGGGGTGCGGGGTAATAAAGCCATGTGTTAAGTATCATAAACTCCTCTGTAAATCGTGCTGAATTTGACTATAATCTTGATCTTCTATTTTTGTAGTTTCGCCATTGGTTTACTGCTAGGCCTGAGGCAAGATCACATTTTCACTGAGAAAAGAGTAGAGGATAGGGCCAGGGGCGAGGATGTCATGATGATTATTTGACTTCTCTCTTGCATGAGGATAATGTAGTATTTTTGGTACGGCAAGTAGTGCATACTTTTGTTTCATCCACATGGTGTAATTGCATGCAGAGATGAGTATTTTAATAGGCTGTGGTATTACCAAATGCACAGTTATTCCAGTAACTTATAAGATGCAACACAGTAGGGACTGTTGGTATTTTACTTTATTTTGCAACATACAGATGGTGGCCATATTTATATGGCAAACTCTGTGCATTCAAGTGCTTAGGGAAAAATTGTCACACAAATAATTGCTTTACTGCAAAATTAGTGCCAATTCTGCTTTGACGTGCTCGTGCTGCATTTTTTTAAATTGATTATGTGCCCTCAAGGTATTGTCAACTCTTGATGCCCACATAGATGTCCTTTTTGACAATCCATCTCTTCAAGTCTTCCAATGGTGCACCCATCACCGCTGTAATCTAATCTAATCCATCCATCCATCCATCTTGCTGCTGATCTTCCTCTCATCACTTTTCTTTCTCGGCATCAGAGCCTTCTTCAGGCTGGAAGAGAAGATTCTGTTTTCTTGATGCAAATAAAAAAAGTAAGCATGACCTTTGGTCAGCAGAATTGTAGAACAAACTCCAAGGGGTGGGGGAGGAGGCAGGTAGCTTTATCCCCCAGTAACAACTGACCCAGCAACAATAAAATCATAGATAAGATTTTTCAAGAACAGAAAATAATGATGGGTGAAAATAAATTAAGTATAGGCCTGAAAAGGCAACATAAATTTACTCTGCCTTTTCTCCTTTTGTGGTCTTTGTGCAGTTCCACATGGAGGTTTCTGACACACATACACACACACACATACACGTTAAAAGTCTTTAACCTTCCAAAACAGGATTGTGCAATGATTTTGTAGTTAGCAAACAACAAAATTCACCGCTGAATGCTCCAGCGAAAGAGGTAGCAATAAGATGATGTTATTGGAAGAGAAGGGTACAGAATCCTGCTTCCTATTGGAATGGATTTGCTTGTTGTTGTTGTTTTAAAAAATCAAACTTATCAGGAGCCTCATACGATTATTACATTTTTATTTTCCTTTTTCAAAGAGCAGAAAATGTTGACGTACAAAATTCAGCAGTGGCTACCCAAATTTAGCTGAACAATCTTAATGGTTGGTCTATTTGATTTGATTTTTATCCTGATTTTATTATTTTTTATAATAACTCAAGGTAGTGAACATACCTAATACTTCTTCCTCTTCCTATTTTCCCCACAACAACAACTGTGTGAGGTGAGTTGGTAAGGGAGACTGACTGATCCAAAGTCACCCAGGGAGCTTTCATGCCTAAGGTGAGAGTAAAGCTCATAGTCTCTTGGTTTTTAGCCTGGTGCCTCAATCACTAGGCCAGATTCATAAACAGGACCTCAGTTGCTTGGTACTTTTTAGAGCTCTGTTTCCAGCTGGAGACATTTTCCCTTTTTAGTGTTGTCTCTTGAACTCTGTATTTGATCTGGGTTACTGTATTGAAGAAGTATATTTTTATTTTAT